AGACGAAGTATCGCTAAAAGACTTTCATTCTACATCGGGTGCCAGCTGCCAGCGGCCAAGCGTTGTGCCGACTCGGCTCATCCAGCAGGGGAAAGAACCTGGACCAGCCGCCCGTGAGCAAAAGTGTCAGCGGACCAGCGGCGAGCGCGTGCAACGCAGCTCCTCCAGCAGTGGAAGGAGCCTGCTGCTGTCAGCGGACCAGCGGCGAGCGTGATCGAGCATCTACAAGGACAATCAACGTGCCGACGCAGCGCCTCCAGCAGTGGAAAGAGCCTGGATCAGCTAAGCCGACGCCCCGAGCAAGAAAAAAAACCGAAGCAGTTTGTGTAACCCTCCCCCACATTCACATCCTCACGACGCATCACCCGGCGTCTGCTTTACAAAGACACACAACACGCATATCGGGACAATCAAGAAGGGTTGACATTCCAAGGTGGTGCATTAAATATCAACTGATCGTGAAGAACATTGCTGCCCATTGAGTTACATCGATACGGTCATTTAGAAGCACATTAGTCGTTCGTTTTTTTTATTTCCTTTTTAATTGCATAATCTTGCCGATGAATCTATTGACGTATATGCTTCCTTTGGGGTATAATAATTGGTTGTATCGCCTTTCGCATGAGTATCGTCGGATTAATTTTTAAGGACTTTTTGTTCCTGTTTGCCGTGTATGCTCATGTTACTCTGAAGTAATCAATTGATCTGTTACCCAATTTACAACGTGACCATTGTGGGGTAAATGTATGGATCAATGTGGTTGATAATTCCAAGCATAATAATTCGCACATTATAGAGTTAAGGTTTTGTTTAGAAATTAAAATTTCTTAACACAGAAGTGGTTGCGTGTTTCTTTCCTGAGTTCATGCATAATAATCTTGTTTATAAGAACTGTATTCAGCGTTGAGATTTGAATTTGGAGACCTGACATAAAACACTAATACGTAATCAGTAAATGTTAAAGCGCGAATAATTGTATTATACTGATTGATAATACGAACCTATATTCTTGGTTCTTTCGGTAAAGTCACGTTGAAGGGAAACTATAAAATAATAAAATATATGTAAAACAATAAAATTCTCACGACGTTTTGACTGCAACACAAGCAGTCATCATCAGGTGCGTTGCAGTCGAAACGTCGTGAGAATTTTTATTGTTTTATATATATTTTATTATTTTCTTGTTTCCCTTCAACGTGGTGACTTTACCGAAAGAACCAAGAATACGAACCTAGACAAGGAAGCCGAGTTTAATCTGACATACTTACAGCACACCTGCATAACTTCATACGATTAATTGTATTGTCCCGATTGATGATACGACCCTCGTCAGCGAGGCAGGGCTTAATTATCATAACCGTTCGCATCAGCATAATCACATACGTTCGCATAACTTAATACGTTTATCTCTCGAATTAGCATAATTTATGCGCATAATTACATCAAATAACATTTTTGGATATTTATGCATATTTCCAAATTTCATTTAATTTTTATTATTTTCATTCAAATTTTCATAACCAACATATACAACAGCTCTAAACTTGGCAAGTGTCTTTGGTTGAGATCCGTCAATTTGCATGATATCTCTCTGTAGTTTATTGAATCGTTACATCTGAGACTGACGAATCATTTTAAACCTAGTCCTGGAATCAGTTTATTTTGGCAGTTTGAGTGTCTCAAACTGCGGGCCTGCCAAAACTACTGCGACTTTGTGTAAATTGTACTGTGGTTTCTATTGTGAGGTGGAGAATTAATCTCTAGAAAACCAAGCTGTGGCTGGACTAATTTCATTGCTGGCTGTTTGGGTTGTCTAGGCCCGTGGACCTCTTAAGAGGAAGTTTGGATGTGGGCCTTTCGGAATTTCTCCAATTTAGGCATTTTTAGAGGCAATAGCGTTGCATCACAATAACCATTGGTATTCATGCTCTTTGGTTCTTTCGGTAAAGTCACGTAGTTAGAAATAAAATAAAACAAATCACGACGTTCCGATCGCAACACAAGCAACCTTCATCAGGTGGAGAGTATGGATTCCTGCAGTCACGAAAGCTTCAAATCAAGATTGAACCATTGCTTGCATTTCCCTCATGCTATACCACATTGTGCCTCGTGGAGTGAGCACCATGGCTGAAATGCCATCAGGGCTCAAACTCCCACAATGCTGTGAGCCATCCCAGTTCCCAGTGATGTTCCTGTTTCAGCTGAGCAGTCTCCAGGCCCTTGATCTTCACCGGATCGTGTCCAGTCGCCAGTGCGTTGTTGTACCCTTGCTGGAGTCCATAAATGACGCGATGCTTAGCCCATTCCGTGCTTCCTGCTGCAGATGCCTCGTACAATGTCCGCAGTGTGGCCACATTGATGATGTTGGCAGGGCCTGTGCGTGTGTGCTTGTGTGTATGTATGAGGAGTAGTAACCTGCGTGCAGCACAATGCTTCTCGTAAAAAAAAAAATCACCCAGTTCGGTGTGTGATGGTTTAACTTGATGTTCAGTGACAGAGTTAGCAAATTGTACAAAGAGAAGAGCAATTCCCTTCTATGGAGCATGCTCTAGACGAAAATGGATTTTTCTCATTTGTGCTGTTTCAAAACTTCCAATGCATTGAAAATAAATGTTCATTCTCGAATACTGTTTCTCTAGTACAGTAGACTCTTGAGTACCCGCGCTAATGACGGAGAGGACGGCCCCGGATAATTCGACATTGCGGATAATCCAATAATATCAACATTTCCGTGGATTTCTATTCCAAATATTAACGATTGACCGATCAATGCGTGTGCTCAGTGATAACACTTTTCTGCTCCCGTGCAGAAGACTCCACCCATTTAGTATATTTCAGAGCCTTGCCAATCAAAATCAGTCAAACTCCGCCCATTGTTGTAAAGATATGGCAACTACTGTATTGTAGGGGCGATCACGGGGATTTCGGATTCATAGGAGCACATACAGTATTTGTTCAATTTAAGCACGTGACTTGTAATAAACATTTCCAAGAATAACAATGCATCACTGTTTTTAGATTATTAATTTGGGCTTAACGGAAAATCAATGAGTTAGTAATTTATGTCTAAATCTCAGGTGCGCTGTTAATCCTCAAATCGTATAAACTGCACGTGGATAATCGAGCGCCTATTGTACTGTTCAAAAAGTATGGCCACACCCTCGTATGATCTATTTTTGTTACACTAACACATGTCGAACGGTGATTTTGTTTTAAGAATTTTCTTTGTTCATATTATTACAAATGTATTCTGCATGTTAAATAAATAGAAACTTAAAATTTTAGATTGACGTTAGATGCATAACTTTCTCAGGAACGTGTTCTTCTAAATGTAAGCCCACTGTGACACTTGGGAGATTGTTTGAAATCCTGAAAGCCGCAGGCATTCAGCGGTGGTTTGAGGAATACGTGGTTCAATTCTGGCTTTATTCGGCACACATGGAATACAAGCAACACCGCTTGATCGCAAGCATAATATACAGATAAAAAAATACCTGACCCTTAACAGAGCATTATAGCGTACACAATACTTAAGGTTCCAGAGAGTATCCTGGAATGTAGCATAGTTTAAACGAAATTATGGATTCAATAGATCAAGTTTACTTCTCATGGATTTTAATAGCAACACACTCTAGAACATATATAGTCAGAAAACAATAAACGAGTATTTATTTTACATCGATTCCTTTGCTCAGAGTTCAAACATAATACAATCTAATTGCAGTTGTGTGTTTGAGAAACAGTATTCCCTTCCTCTTTGTTTTTATATATATAAAAGGCAAGGTTGTGATTGTGTGTGTGTGTCTGTTCAAAATGTTTAGCATACTTCCCGACATGCAACAAACTTGAAATTTGGCATGTGAGTAGCTTCCAGACTGTACACAATGCAAAAAGTATAAAAATTTACTTTTGTATATATTTTTTTTTGGGGGGGGGGGGGGGTGCGCAATAATGGATATATTTTGCACGGCAAGTGAGCGGTGACGTCACAGCTGTGATGTCACCCGCATGCGGCAGCGTCACGCAGTGTGCCTGCTGACGTCACGCATCCCCCTCCCCAAACCCTCCGCGTAGGCCGTGTATCCCGCACAAATGCGCGGCTGGGGGTGGGGAAGTAATGGATATAAAATACTGTGATACAAACTTTTAATTTGCCATGTGACTAGCTTCCATACTGTACACAATGTAAAACGTATAAAAATATACTTTTTTTTTCGATTTAAAGCTTTCGTGACTGCAATGATTAATCTTCTTTGGTTCTTTCGGTAAAGTCACGTAGAATGATAATAAAATAATAAATTGATAAAATAAAATAACAATAATATTCTCACGACGTTTCGGCCACAACACAAGCGGCCTTCATCAGGTGAAGGGGGGCGAGACTGTCTGGTAGGACACTCCAGCGCTGTCCTACCAGACAGTCTCGCCCCCCTTCACCTGATGAAGGCCGCTGTGTTGTGGCCGAAACGTCGTGAGAATATTATTGTGTTATTTTATTTTATCAATTTATTATTTTATTATCATTCTACGTGACTTTACCGAAAGAACCAAAGAAGATACTTTTTTTTATTTGGGGGGGCGATATAATGCATATAATATATTGCACAACTGAACGGTGACGTCGCATCTGTGATGTCACCTGCACGCGGCAGCATGACGCAGCGTGCCTGCTGACGTCACGCATAACCCCCCCCCCAACCCTCCGGGTCGGCCGTCTATTAATCAAAGACAAGAATCCAAGCCGGGTAGTAAAGCTAGTACAATACAAATAGCCGTCCCATACCTTAGATCAGTGGTTCTTAAACCTGATCTTATTTTAGACGGTAAATAGTCTAAACACAAATAAAGCATGGGCAAACAAATATAACAACTTTGTTTCATTAAACCGACGTGTTTATTAACGTTGTACATTTTTGTTTTTTACGATTGAGAACCAAAGGGGTCCAAGGCTGCAGTCAAGGCTAAGAACCACTGCCTTAGAAAATTAGTTATTCAAATTATTTAATATCGTGCCATTACTTTCGAACACTGCCAGAGGCTAATTATCTTCACCTTAAGATAAGTGATAACTGTGCAAAAAGAGCTTCATAGCTCATCGGATTCCTCCAGTACTAATATATATAAATTAAATATTCTGATCCTGATCAACACCACCATCATCACCACCACCACCACGAATATTAACTGGCATTCACTGATGTAGAAGCTGTCGAAGCAAATGCCATCTAAGCGCTTAGTCTTTGGACTTCACCATTATCATCATCATCATCAGGATCCATGGGTAGATAGCACGGAGATGTCCACTGCACATTTCGTAATTTGTCTCCACTTTCCTCTGTCTTGTGTAAATATTCTCAAGTAGTGGCCACATCTTGCTGGCACCAATCTGCTCTTACGTTGTCAAGCCATTCCCTGTTAGGTCTTCCTATCTTTCCGGTTCCTTTCATTTCTCCGAACAACACACTTGGAATTTTCCTGCTGTTGTCCATCCTACATATCTGTCCAAATAATGGCAGTTTCCTTCTACTGGTAGGAACGAAGTTGTAAACTGAGTGTACCAGCCTGCAATAGATTAATGTGTCCGTCCGTCCCCTTTCAATACTTTAACGAAGTGAAAATTCCAATGTTCCTACCAGCCCACCCTGCAGGGACCTGTTCATCACTGCCTGCATCATCAGGTTGTCTTCTTCTATATGCAACCTTTGTCTTACTTCTATGTTGGTCACTCTCTGTAGCAATACATTTTGAGTGCCAACATCTTATCTCTGTCAGTCTTAATCTAGATTTGAAGTTTTCGTGACTGCAGGGATCCATACTCTTTCGTTCTTTCGCTAAAGTCACGTAGGTAGAAAATGAAATAAATTAAATCACGACATTTCGATTGCAACACAAGTAATCATCATCAGGTGGGAAACCACAGCAATAATTTTTTTTCTCTCCCTCTGTCAGTCTTTTTTTAATGTCCAAGTCTCGCAGGTATACAAAGTTATACTGAGCACGCATTGTTCTTAAGATGTTCAGTCAGGTCTTGTAGCTGATTTGTTTGGTTTTCCAGACGTTATCGAATCCTATCATTACTCCTTTTGCCTTTGCGATCCTCACTCTTATGTCCTTCGTACAGTTGGTGTCCCATGTCAATATATTTCCCAGGTATAGAAATCCCTTTACATTTACAATCTTCCTGCTCTCTATTATTACTTCTTTCTCAATGTCCTCCATTCCGAACACCATCGTCTTTGTCTTTTCTACATTAATCCGCCTGCATCATTTCCTGATGTACTCAGCGTATGCACACTTTGTTGCAGTCCTACGCAGATTTCTTCCATTAGATCTATCTCGTCCGCGAATCTCAGGTTATTTTTTTTTTCTCATTGCACAGATATTCCTGTGCTGTTGTCCTGAATGGCATCCACCACTCTTTCCAAGTATGTGACGAAGTTGTTTGGTGATAGTGGATCTCCCCGTGTCATACCTATTCTTGTTGGGAACCATTCTCCTATTTCCTGTCCAAACTTTACTCCGTATGCTCTTAATGTTGCCCACATTATATCTTGCTTAGTCGAATCGAATTATTTCTGGAAATCTATGAACCAGTTGTGGAAACCAGGATATTCTTTCTCGTTGTTGTCTTTACTACAAGCCTTAACATCAATATTTGCTATGCTGTGTTCATATCTTTCCTAAACCCTGCCTGTTCATCTGCCAATAAATCCTCAGTTCTCCCCTTTTATCAATGTAATCGTACGATCTTAAGTACTTTCCCATGTGTCTCATTACTGTGAGGGTTCTGTAAGTTTTGCAATCGGTGACATCTTCTTTCTTGGGTATCGTAATAAGTATGTCAGACAAAGAGGCAGGTGATCCTGCCCCTTCCTCTGCATACTTCCACCACTGCTCACCTCAAAAAGACTTCAATCAGAAACCTCTTCAACCATCTCTGGTAAGTGCTAATTATTTGTCTTTTTTTTGTTCAAATATGTGTGAACTTGTAAATTATACGCATTTTGTACACTTCGTCACATCTAGTCACATTTTTTTCCAGAAATGTCAGATTGGAATGTAACCCCTGATTTTAACATTATGCCTGCGGTCAAATTAGAGTTTGATTCAAGTAATTCCGAGTTAAGTAGCATTTTCCAGGAACGCATACTTCATGTTTTGTGCGGGATTCCTGTATCTTGCTATGATTAACAATGTAAATGGTATTTATTGAGGCAACTCATAAAAGCGACCACGTCTGAAGAAACTATGCAGTCAAGAAGCCAAGTGTGCTATGAGAGATACGATTGCTTCAAAGTTAGGATAATTCTTAAGGATACGAAGGGTATAGCGATATAAATGAGTATTGTGCCACGAGGTGTGGGTACAGAGACAATAAGGACAGATTGTACCAGGTAGTGAGGGAGTCGGGAGTTGGGATTTTTGGCAATGTGGATGATGATTGGTGATAACGATTTTTAAAAAACAAAGCCACAGTAGTGCGATTCTGGCCATGCAACCCAAACTATGGACCATGTAGTAAACCACTGTAGTCTGCGCTCATTCAATGGGGGAGGACAATTAGCAAAACTACACAAACTCTCTCCTGAAGCTCTATTGTGGCTAGCGGATATCGACATTGGTATTTAACAGCAGTGGCAACTGCGGTGGACAGACAGCGCACACCCCGGTGAGGGCGTGCACGGTGCGTGTTGGCAGAGTGGAGGAACTGGGGCAAGGGTCACGGAGGACCCCGTCTGGTGGCCCCTGGAACCTGCTAGAGGGTTCTAGAAGGGAGGCGCGGTTAAGGCGGAGCCAGGGCCGTGCCGGGAGCATAAAAGGAGGCGAGAGCGGGGGTCTCGAGGCTGCCGGTTCTGGGAGTGGACTCGTCTCGTCGTTGCCGTCATCGCTAAACGTCTCCTCTAGATATCGTGCTACAGGATAGTAGTTGGCTATCGCAATCAGCGCCGTCAGTGTTAGATAGCTAATGTTGTGTACAAGCTAGGCTAAGCTACTGTGGGGAGTGTGCGGACGAGACCGTGAAAGTTGTTAATAAAGAAAGTTCCTTCTAGAAACTCTGTCTCTAAATCGTTGAGACTACACATATTTACACAGGCAAGAATATAATTAATACAGTAGATTCTCGATTATCCATGTTTGGTTTATCTGATTTGTGTATTAACATCGCACCTGAGATTTACAAATTAATTACTCATGGATTTCCCTTAAGCCCAAATTAATAATCTAAAAACAGTTAAGCATTGTTATTCTTGGAAATAATTATTACAAGTAACATGCTTAAACTGAACAATTATGTGTTCCGGTTTATCCGATAGTCACGTGATCACCCCTCTACAGTACAGTAGTTGCCGTATCTTGACAACAGTGAGCAGAGTTTGATTTTGATTGGCGTGGTTCTCATATTCGCTTAATGGGCCGAGTCTTCTGCACGGTAGTAGGAAAGTGTTATGATTGAGAACGCGCATCGATCAATCGTATATACGTGGTGTTTGGCAAACAGATCCGTGGGAAATGTGTATAGATTTGGATTATCCGCAATTTTTTATTATCTGTGACCGTCCTCGTCATGAACGCGGATAATCGAGAGTCTACGGTATTTCCAAAAACGACTGCTTTCACAATGTTAGTGAGAATGTTTTTTTTAAGTCTTCCATAATCTTCTTTTTATTTGTTTTGATCTGTTTCCACGCATCGGGAATATCTGCCGGCAAAGCCTTATGCCTTTCAGCAAATTTTTCATTGTATTTGCAGAACACGATCTTCCAGAAAGTCGTGGCCTCCAGGCTGGTGTCCGGCTGAATGAGCCAGGAGGCAAAGTAATCATTGATCGTGCGGTATTCCTTGTAGGGAATACATGCCGCATTTGAACGTGCACAGCGGTATGACCTATTGCTGGCAACAGCTGTTGTGCAAACCTCAACAGACACCTTCTGAGTTGTTATGCACCGAACTCCATTAAGGCCCACGGGGTAATGCAGCACGGAACAGTGCTCCCTATGTCCACCACCTCCCTGGTCACAAGGCACCCCACAGAAAGGACACTGCTTCTCACAGCCAGCCAGGCTCCTGTAGAGCTCTATGTGCGGCTGCACACTGAGACGACTCGACCACGCCTCGCACTCGGTGTCACTGGCGACACTGAATCCTCGCAACATTTCCTCTTGAGCAGAGTCCAACGAACCCTTGAGCTCTTCCGAAAATTGCTTGACACTTTCTTTGTCTCTGAAGGATAAAGACCCAACTATGTCAATGAAATCCTTATTAATGATTATGTGATTGAGGAGACACTCGCCCAAGCTGTCTGAGAATTTCCAAAGTGTGGTCGGAGTGGCTATTTGTTTTATGACAGAGTCCACAGATTTCTTCACTTCATTAATCAGATTGCTCAAAATGGCCCTTGAGAGATGGTACATCTGAGAGTGTGACCCATTCTTACTCTGGCAGTGCTTTATGACCTGAGCCTTTATCCATTCTTTTGTAAAACCTGCGTAATTCGTGATGTATCTGTCGTAATTTTCAAAGTCGTCTTCATCCAGCAAATGCAGTAGCATTGCCAGTTGAAGGTTTTTCCGGCTCAAAAACGTTGGACCACCGCTATCGCTTTTCACATTCTTCGCAATCTCCATCCCCAATTTGTTGTCGACAGCCTCAAGTAGAGACGGCTTCAGGCACTCGTTACAAAAGGTCTTTGCATTTTCCATATTTTTATCCCCTTGACGATATAGTTCCTTGAAAATAACAAAATATGACTCCTCAACTTTCTTCAATTCATTTGTCGGATCATTGATTTCATTGTTAATGTCATGTTTATCTTGCCATATTTTTATGGCGATGTGACATATATTCACAGTGGTATCTATTACTAAGTCTTTGCTGATCACAATGTTCAGATTTTCAGCCTCTTTAAATGCGGCCCTTACTTGTTGCAGAAGTTCGTCACAATAGGCGGAGCAATAATCGCAATGTTTTATTTTGTCCTCAATATACCGGCTCATCTTTGTGATTATCGAGCGAGAACGTTCCTTCGACTCGTTCATACTTGAGTCATCCTCTTGGGTTGGTTTATTTCTACGTCTGGCTGATTTAACAGATGTTTCTGGCCCTTGTCGAAAGTCATTTACAATTTTGTCGCGATATTTGTCGCCCTGTGAATTTTCCCGCAATGCTTCACTCACAAGCAGCTGATATTCTATTTTACTGTCAATCAGTGCTTTCTGCACATCTCTGTAAACGTTGTGGCGGGTCAATTTAATTTCTGGGAGGCATTTAACCACTTCTGTCCACATGTTGTCAAACTCTTTCTTGAGCTGTTGTTCGTTTAGTTGTATTTCCTCGTTCTTGCAACGCTGAAGAAGGGCATGAACTTCCAATCCAATGATCTTTTTCCTTTTTGTTTCAAGCTCATCGATGGAGTGTCTTGACTGCCTTCTGCAGACTAATTGTTTGAATATGTTCAGGGTTTCATCGTGCGATTTGCTGCATAGGTGATTGGCGCTGATGTTGAAGTCCTCTTTGTATTTCTCAACTAAATGCACATCATTGCTTTTGTTTTCAAAGTAGCTTTTTAATTTGTTCTGTATAGCGACTTTTCCTTTTGAAATCTCATTCCCTAATTCAAGCTCCAACTGTTGAAGAATTTCCTGAAGCTTCCCGTGTTTCACGCTCATTATTCTATTCTCCTTCTCTTGCGTCCAAGAAATAATTTTCTTCCGATATTCCCACTCCCAGTCTGTATATTGAACACACAGTTTGTAGTACGCATCGGCAACCAAGCTGTTCCTGAAACTGAATATGAAGTGCTCCTTTGTCACTGCTTCCCAGATGCTTCCGATCCAAGCGCTGAACTCTGACAGCGTTGAAGCTCCTTGTGTTTCTGCTCTCTTTTTAAAATGCTCCATCAGGTGCTGCTTGAGTTGAAAAACCTGATCGCTGTACGCAGCACTGACTGAAGCCATTGGAGGGGTTCCATGCCAGAGACCAGGTATGTACCAGTTGTCCCGACTCACGTCGTGCTCCATGACGTCCGTGAATTTAGTGTAAGTGGACTCCTTGTGCTCCATTCTTGCAGCTGCCACCGTCATGGCATTCAGTTGATCGATGAGGTGTTCGTTCTCCATCATGTTCTTGTCGGAGGCAGCGACATCGCCAGAATTCTGATGCACAAACTGGCAACTCGGTTTCTTGCCCACTGCTTTCATCCTCAAAAAAGCGTGGACGACGATTTGCAGAACGTCCTTCATGTCTTCGGCATTTTCCGTTGCCAGGTTAATGAGCGTGACGTCGCTCAATCCAACGAACACCGTGGCCAGCTCATTGTCGTGCTCGTGGTTGTCGTGAAGTGTTGCCAGCTCAGGGGCTTTCAGCCCTTCCGTGTCAATCACCAGGATGAAGTCACACTCCAGTTCTTGTTTCAGGTGATCCTCAATGCTGATGAGCTGCATGAAAGCGCCACGTGTGCAGCGGCCACTGCTCACTGCGAACTGCAGCCCAAACATGGTGTTGAGAAGCGTGGACTTGCCTGTGCTCTGCACCCCCAGCACGGTCAGGACGAACACGCGGGGGTCTCGGCCAAGCGTCGCCTTCACTTCCTTAAGCACGTCGGTCACCCAGTCAATGGGAATACAGCCAACGTCTCCATCCATCAGCTCCAAGGGAAAGCCCTCCAAGAACAACTCCGCAGCAACAGCTGGGAGTGTCAGTGCCTCGGGGCAGGCAGGTTTACGTGGCTTTATGGTACTGGATGTTTTATGCTTGGAAAGTGCTTTAGTTGCTTCATAACACTGTCCAATTTCCCTCATGAAGTGTTCCAGTCCTAATGAGTTTGATGACATTAATTCTTTAATCGTATGCAGATCTGCACCTTTAGTCGTAGAATCAACAAGTAGCTGCTTGTAATCAGCGCGTAATGAGGAAAGGCTGGTCCTGGATAGACTATTCAGTTCCAATTTCATCCATTGAAGGGCGTACATTTTCATTATGGTCGACTTGTCTAACAGTAAATCAACGCACATTTTCATAATATCTGAGAAACCTTTTCCTGCCTGTTCAAAGCGAATTTCTTTTTGTGCTTCAACTAAGCTACATATGTATTCTTCAACAGAATCACCGACTTTCTTTAGCCGATTTTGCTCCTTTTTGGTTTCTGACCACCTGCGCCAAAGATCTCCTTGCAATGGGAGGTTTCTCTTACTCTCTTTTACACCATCGTTTTTTATTTTGTCAACGATCATTTTGACCTTTCGTTTAGTTCGCTGACATTTATTTTCATATTCATCGACTGTAATTTCTAATGATGTAGCAAAGTGGACCATATCTTCCATTGTCCTGGAATTTGTACTACTTTTGATTACATCTGCGATCTTACATCGAATTTTACGAGTAAAATACTCTTCATTGTGTTTGCCTCGTCCAATAATGTTAGTTTTCTCTAATTTCAGCTGAGACCAGACGTCAGTGATTGCATTTGAATTCCTGATTCTACTACGCACGTCCTGATCTGTTATCAGAAACAACTGAGCTTCGGCATCGGCAAGAAGAGGCGATATTTTGTTCACGTCTGTTTCTTCATTGTCAATGACGATGAATATAGCCTGCGAGATTTCTTTAAGGAACTCAAGCTGAACTAAGTGATCTCGGGCATCGCCGCGGAGATTTAAAATGCCAAACACCGTTTGGAAAACGTCCACATTTGATTTCCCACCAGGACAGAACGTACACGTTTCAACCAGTCCATCGGAGCACTTTCGAGCGATGTCACCACATGACATTTCTCGATGGACAAAAAAATCGTGTTTTTCATTGCTCAGAATCGAATTGAGCACTTTTGATTTCGAGACACTGCACTCTCCAATCCGAATGAATGAAATAAAAGGCATTTCTATGCTGACCAATGACTCCTCCATGCTGGATGCATTCTGCTGTAGTTTCCAGTTTTTCACAATTTGCCTCATGGCCCACAACATAAACGTGACGTCACCTTTGCCCAAATCAGGCATTAAGAGAGGCAAGGCAAACTGACACTGGGACATCTTCTGCATAAGCTCCTGCTGTAAGAAGCTGTCAGCGCAGAGAAACACCGCGGTTATCATGTCCAGTGGATTTATCAAATCGGCTGTCGCATCACTACCTGAGCTTCTTGTATTTTCATCGTCACTCGTATCTGCTTCTTCCATTCCACACTGGCCATATTCTGTGTTTCTTGCCCTGGGATTTGCTCTCATTACATTCCAGAGGAAATGTTGGGAAATTTCCTCCAGAGATTTGGGATATTCCTCACAGCCAATTAATTTCAAAACGTGATTTCTTGACATTTTATGGGGGTAAAACTTGTCCAAAGTAAGTTTCTTCATAGTAGTATGAAAGATTATTTTTGAAGATGCAATCTTGTCAACATTGTCTTTATTCCCACGCGTTTTTGTTGCATCCAATGCCCGACCTCCACTGCTGTGTGCATGAACACTGGAATATAACAAGTACCATACAGTTATACATTATTTATTCATATACAATGTTCCATTACATTCATATTCACGAAAAGGTGTGTGATGTACATATATGCCTACCAACATTACAGCAGTGACAAGGATAAATGGGTATATTTTGTGAATATAGGCCAATTGAGACATCTTTCCAATTCTGAGCAGCTCTCAAATCCTCTGAATGAAGGCTCAGGATAAGTCCCATAATACTTTTGTGTTTGTGATGTAGTGAATTAATATGGACCCGCCTTTTTTACTCAGCCAGCTGGATTATGGCCTCCAAATGGCGCAGGGAACGCTAACCAGGCTCACGTGGAAGTGTAAGGGTCGCGCGCCAGGGCACACTGAAGTTAGGTTGGGGACACGGGGCCATACCAAATATAAATTAATTAATGAAGAAGGATGGCGGTAAGGAAGCTTCCAAAAAAGGAGACGAGGGATTGGAGGAGATCTGAAGAAGGGATATTTGGCGGGAAAGAATATTATTTACAATACACCAAAATTATCCTGAGATTTTTTTGAGTTAGATCGCGGAAGTATAAACGTGTTGTTAAACTCGCCACCACTCAACACGGCCAAAATCGCAGTAACAGGTATTGATATTTTTTGCACACAAAAACGGCATAATGTGCAGACATAATGTACATACGTAATATTATGCATGGCGTGATGTACACAGGGGCCGTCCATAAATGACGTCACGCGATTTTGAACCATTTTTACCCCCCCCCCCCTCCGTCACACGACGTCACAAAAAGTCAGACCCCCTTCAAATATGACGTCACAAAGCTCTGCCCCCCTCCCCCCCAAAAAGAAAACATGCTTCAAATGGCTTTAAACTATTGTCATTGTAGTGCGTATTTAATGTGCTGCTGCACTCTGATGTTGGAGGAGAAAACATTTATTATAAACTATATTTAATTAAGCAGAACGTGTTGTCTGTATTTATTTAAAGTTGCGCATTTTGATGTGACGTCACATTTTTCAAACCCCCCCCCCCCTCGTCACACATCGTCACAAATGTCTGACCCCCCCCCTTCCCCTAGGTGCGTGACGTCATTTATGGACGGCCCCATACATTGTGTATGTTGATTAACTGTGCCAATAAAACCCAACCAACAATAGATATCCATTGTAATTTATATGAATAAATTAACCACCCCTCTGGTCTTCGTACGTGATTGGCTCACAAGTGACAACATCGCATTTATCCCTCTATTTAAGACTGAAACAGGAGGAGGATTTTTCCACAACTCTGGCTGTTGCCTGATGAGGGTGGTTGCAATTACCGCCAAAAAGGCACGGTACTCAAATTGTAAATGTTGTTGTGGGTTAACTCTTCAACACACCGGTGTGCTGAACTAGTAACGAATTGGCACGTTTTGTTTACGTGACAAATCTTACTAATTGGCTGTCGGGTGGTGGCAGGTTTAAGGACACGTTTATATTTACGCGATCAAACCCAAAAACCTCTATTATGGTTGTGGATGCAGTTGGCCTACTGGAGCTGTCCGTGGAAATGTACACATTTACGCATTATTTCATTAAGCTGGCTGTCACAACTTTATCCACAATGCAGACGGTAACACGAAAGCGAGGGCTTACAAGTGGTAAAAGGAGAAAATAGCGAGGACGTCGAATGTGAAAGACAGTAACAAAAGCGAGACAAAACTGTGCATGCTACCGGATGCAGACATTTCGATGAAACGATATTAAAGTACAGTAAAACCTTGGGATTGCGAGCATAATTCGTTCCGGAAACGTGTTTGTAATCCAAAGCACTCGTACATCAAAGCACTCGTAGATCAGTTGTGATCACGTGACGCTCGGCAGACAAAGTGTATATACGTACACTACTCGTATTGCAAGACCCTCGCTCGTTTATCAAATTAATATTTACTAAAAAATTTTGCTCGTCTTGCAAAACACTCGAAGACCAAGTTACTCGCAATCCAAGGTTTTACTGTATGTTAAGGCCCTTCAGTTGGATTGCTCATTACAGGGTGGAAAAGGCGACAGAGGTGTCAGTGACGATGTGTGGGAATGTCTTATCTGCTTGCAGTTAATCGAAATTGCGGATTAACTGCGCACCTTAGATTGATAGAAATTAATAACTCATGGATTACCGAACAAATGTGTGCTCCAGTTTATCCAAAATCCACGTGATCACCTCTACAGTACAGTAGTTGCCATCTTTAAAAGTGGGAGGAGTTTTATTGATGTTGATTGGCATGGCTCTAATATCCACTTAGTGGGCAGTTTTCTTCGCTTGAGCAGGAAAGTGTTACTGAGCATGCGTACCGATCGACCCGATCGTTATTATTCGTTCTAAATAGAAAGAGTAACAATCAAAATCGTCAGTTGTGCTTCATTTTGGGTGATTTATCCGATCATTTATTTTGCGAGTTTAATTTATGCAACTGTGTGAAGCCAGATAAACGGTAGCGTGTTGTTTTAACTTTAAATCAGAAACTGGATATTATATGTCAATTCGAAGACGACAGTTTCATAAAACATCTTTCTTCACTTAAACATAATTTATGCTTACACAAGTGGTATTTGGCATAGAGAACCGCGGAAAATGGTTAAATATTTTTGGATTATCCGCGATTTCAATTATCCTTGGCCGTTCTCTCTGTCGGAGCGGATAATCGAGAGCCTAATGTAATTATAACAATCCTCCATAAGTCCCCGCAACATCGGCATTCCTGACCTCCTACACGCTGACGTCAATCCCTGTGCCGAGTTGACCGGGAATAATCTCGAGGCGTGAAGAGAGGAGATTGGTAGCTGAGGAGTTATGGACCACGGTGTGAAGATACGGTATTGGTGGATGGGAATGAGGAGACAGGGATGAGGGGAGAGGAAGGGAATCGGAGAGGGGCCTGTGGAGATAAGAGGAGACGTCGGCACGATTGATGGCAAGGAGAGAGCTGTGGATGAAGAGGAGAGAACTGTGGATGGAATGGAGCTGTGTATGATGGAGAACGTGGAATAAAATTATTGGAACCCTTACCTGCCTCTGCGATTTGGTGAGGAGAGTGTCCGTTACATAATTGTGAGTGAGCATGCAGTAAGTTGTGTTGTACAAGAAAAAACTACACCCAAGGACCACGTCGGAAGTTAAAAACAATGCGTGCCTGTGTACATCCCACCACCATCTCATGGGCTAAAGCACTACGGTAGGTTTTCTCTTAACTTGCAACCCACCACGCAACGTGTTTTTCGCATTAACTTACTCTGCATTAAGATACATCTTCATTAGAATCGGTTCTATTAACGCAGACAGCGTTAATTGCTTAGCGTGTCAATTAGTACTTAGCGTAAAATTAGTATCCTGCTAGTGTAGTGGGTCGCCAGGAATGGAGTTTGGGAAGCCATGCTTGACTACGGTGTGAGGAACGCTTAGAGAGAGTGAAGGAGACATTGGCATCGTGCAGTGTAAGTGTCAGGTGCTGTCACGACACCAGCCCTGTGGTGTCAGCAACGTGCTGCGCAGACGAAACTGGGATTACAGCTCACTGGTTGGGCCACATTTATGCTCCAGTCACGCGTACCTCAAGCCGCCATGGGCCATGCGTTACGGTGTGACGACCGCTCAGTGAGCGAGTAGACGCACGGGAGCTACACCTCATTGACTACCGGTGGTTTAATACGGGATGTTAATGGCTCGTAGCGGTGACACTTTTGGTCATCCGCCGTAGCCGTTCAGCCCCATGCCAAACCGCGGGCCCCCGTCATGTGCCAGATGGCAGGGTCATAGCATTGCCCTCCCTCCAGGCTTCCATGCCCATTCCTCACTGGAATTCCTCACTAGATTCGGCGTGGATTCGTGTTCCCTGTCCCCGTGTTCTGGGCTGGTGGCACTGAGACTACAAGTACAAACCTTGGCACGTGTTGAGGTCAATTGTGAGTTGCCACTCCGTGTAGATTTTTGAGATGGTTTTCTTAATTAAATGTGTTTTTTTATGAATTGCATTATTTAAAAAAAGTTCCATTGCTTATTAGTAGTAAGTTACGGAAAGCCCAAATGTAAATCCAGTTAGCCGAACACCACCATTTTTATCAGGTTAAAAGGTTATTTGGTGATAGTGCATTTTCAGTGGCACACATGCACAAATAATAACGATAAAAGAGCTCACATTCGTCAAAAATATTTCTTTGAAAAAGGAAATCACTCGGCAACATCAGGGAGTTCTGTGAAGGTTAGATATTATATAAGGGAGTAAATACATATGGACTTTGGATTGCATTTATTCAACAAAATCACATGCGCAATCATCGTCGTCTTCATCAAAATAAGAAACATCATCATCATCATCATCTCCAGCATCATCATCATCACGGTTGTTTTAGTGCAACGTGAATTACCTGGATCGTCCTTTTGCCATTTGTTTTGGATCACTAATCTTGCTGAGTATGTTTTGTTGAAACGTGTTCCCATTACCTGTGCACATAGTACACGTTTTTACAAATAATGCACATTATATTTATATGTTTCTTGCATTCAAGTTTACAGAAATGCAACGATTAATTGTTTTATCATACACATTGAGAGCATTTAAAGCAGTACATGTCAGATCAGTGCAATTCAAAAACAAATCTAGTTGGCCATTCAAAACAAACCGTGATATTAAAATACAACCATGTTTTATTCTAATTCAAGGCCGTAATTATAATATAATTATAATATAATTTAATTATAATAGAATTATAATATCTATTGGGGACACATCCCCCCCAATATTTAAATATGCTCAAAATGTACCTCCAATATATTGCTATAAAATAGATTTCTGTTTACATGATTGTGGTTATGGTTGTACGTTATTAATCCCTAATTTCTGCCATTACATACAATGAAACAAGAGATGGTAAAAAAGAAAAAAACAGAGCAATGTAATACAATACACTATTAGACATTATTGTATAAAATGAATACAAAGTCCATCCAATGTGGTAGTGAATTTTTTAATATTTATGCAGGAGATGGCAGGACATTCGTTTTTAAATTTAGATTTTTTTCTGGGGGGGGGACCACCTGGAAGATTTGGTCCTTCTTAATGTTGACTCCATGGCTACGGCCTTGGTCTAATTCCCACATCTCATGGAAGCAACTCGTGCCATTATCCTCACTCGTACATCTTGGTGTAAAGTACAGTATAACTTATTAGTTTTGATTTAAAGCTTTCGTGACTGCAGTAATTCATATTCTTAGCTCTTTCGGTAAAGTCACGTTGAAGGGAAACAATAAAATATATATAAAACAATAAAATTCTCACGACGTTTCGACCATAACACAAACGGTCATCATCAGGTGTGAAAACCAACGGCAAGAAACATTTGCCGTTGGTTTTCACACCTGATGATGACCGTCGTGAGAATTGTATTGTTTTATATATTTCATTATTTTATTGTTTCCCTTCAACGTGACTTTACCGAAAGAGCTAAGAATATAACTTATTAGTTAGTGGAAATGTTCTTATTTTAAGGGTTTCTGCCATCGATCACCCCCCGCCATTTGATCTGAATGGCAGTGGATTTTTCGCACGGAGTGGCAATGGATTTTCAAGAGAATTCACGAGCTGCTAATCCACCTCTGGCGATCAGTGAAAAGACATTTCCACTCCCTAAGAGCTTGAGCATCAAACTAAGCCGGACTGATTCCTACCGCGAAGGTGCTATCCGTTTCACCTCGTCATGGGTGATTGACTGCATTTCACCCATAGGCGGATGTTGACTTCTTATATTTGGGGGTGGGGTGACAGAGGTTCGCTTTATCTCTGACATTAGGAATCGCGGGAGCATATAATTATTTATTTAATCAAATCTTAATTGCAAATTACTGAAACTAAATTAATAAAAGTGTCCAGTTTGGGAAGGGGCGTTCGACCCCCCCCCCCCCGTGCCTCAAGGTAAACTCCGCCCATGATTTCACCACTCCACCCCTACCTTCGCTTCAGACCGAATAGCATTGATCAAGGAGGGTGTGGAACGAAAACTAAGTTAAGGCAGTCATGTTATTGTCAGCATTTTCATGCACATTGAAGCCACTAATGTGATGGTAGAATCATGATAAATGTGCGATTCGTGACGTGGTCCCATTGAGAGATAGAGGAGTGCAGAGTGCTTGCGGTGACGCATTCCTCAATGGCACCTTCGGGCATGAATTCCCAACACTTAAAAAAAATGGCAAACTAAATAACGCACGAGTCAACTTAACGCATGCTGTATCAACGCCGGCCACTAGAAGCCACCACTTTGAAGTACATAGTCCACGAACGAAATGTCTCCACCACTGCAATGATCTAAGCCGGACTAATTGGGTATGAGTTTGGTAGAGAAAATCAATGCGAACTAATTTGAGCATGCAGTGTCACTTCTGTCACTGCCAGGGGTGGATGAAGAAGCATGACAGAAGTTACTGAGGTGCCTATGAATATGTGGCCGACCCACCGACATTATCTTATTTTAATCTATAGAATGCCTTAAATCAAGGTGCGTCATATATTTATATTTAAAAAAAACAGGACAAGCAAAAAAAATATATTAAGATGGCAGGGCTGTACAAAGGACAGTTGCGCCCTCAGGCGAATGTTCCTCACCTCTGCTTTTCATGTACGGGTTGAACGATTGAAATTTTAGACGGTTACTCACCGAGTCTGTCAATCCATTCGCGAAGCTCCCGAGGGTAGCTGCTCTCCACATTCTTGAGCGACTGTAGGAGATTCTTGCAATCCTCCTCCTCCTCATTGTCAATGAAGTGGTCGACCAGGAACCGAGACTGCCTCCTCGAGTCAGTGATTTCCTCGACACGTTTGTAAATGCTTCTTGCAATGAAGGCGTTCGAGTCCAGATCGTCCAGCAGGTAGGAAGGGTCTTGGCTGATCCATGCGATCAGTTTCACTTTGTTTGCCCGGATTACTTCCTGCCAATTCGTGGGCATCCTAAGCAGCGTCTGTTCAAGCACATAGAGAGAATAGGCTACTTCATTTCCGATTGGATAAAATATTCGCAAAATACCACATTTCTATTCTTAGTTTTTTCGGTAAAGTCACGTTGAAGAGAAACAACAAAATAACAAAATATATATAAAACAATAAAAAATTCTCACGACGTTTCGACCATAACTCAAACGGTCATCATCAGGTGTGTCGGTTTGCATAAATTTATTTTTAAAACGGCACATTTATTTATTTATAAAAAACGTTGGCGTCACGCGCAGCGATTGGCAGTTTGCCCAGGACTAGTCCATCTATTTTTTTGAAAAGAGGAGGGGGGAGACGAAATTTTTTATAATGTATGCTGTCTGAAAGCCACTGTAAGCGTGAACAATCAATCAAGAAATGAAATGATTTATCAAATCTTTCCAATGATTGCTAAGATAGAATCCATCTTCTCGGTTGAAATTGTCTCTGTGCTTGTATATGTGGATAGCCTCATGAACGAATCTCTCATGGAACCCAGATGGCTTACAAAGAACCTCCGTCTTGGAAAAGTCAATGGCATGTGAGCCTACTGAATTAGAACAATGATCTGCTACGGCCGAGGTGTTGGTCCTACCGTGTTTAAGGTCTGCTTTATGTTCACGAATGCGGTCCGAGACATGGCGTTTGGTTTCTCCAATGTAACTACTACCACAGAGGCAACTTAGTTTGTAGACACCAGGGTATTGTATGTCCGGAATCACATCTTTTACAGACGGAACCAGATCACGGATTTTATGTAATGTGTGTGTTCAACACATGTGTGTGTTCAACACATTACATAAAATCCGTGATCTGGTTCCGTCTGTAAAAGATGTGATTCCGGACATACAATACCCTGGTGTCTACAAACTAAGTTGCTTCTGTGGTAGTAGTTACATTGGAGAAACCAAACGCCATGTCTCGGACCGCATTCGTGAACATAAAGCAGACCTTAAACACGGTAGGACCAACACCTCGGCCGTAGCAGATCATTGTTCTAATTCAGTAGGCTCACATGCCATTGACTTTTCCAAGACGGAGGTTCTTTGTAAGCCATCTGGCTTCCATGAGAGATTCGTTCATGAGGCTATCCACATATACAAGCACAGAGACAATTTCAACCGAGAATATGGATTCTATCTTAGCAATCATTGGAAAGATTTGATAAATCATTTCAGTTCTTGATTGATTGTTCACGCTTACAGTGGCTTTCAGACAGCATACATTATAAAAAATTTCGTCTCCCCCTCCTCTTTTAAAAAAAATAGATGGACTAGTCCTTGGCAAACTGCCAATCGCTGCGCGTGACGCCAACGTTTTTTATAAATAAACAAATGTGCCGTTTTAAAAATAAATTTATGCAAACCGACACACCTGATGATGACCGTTTGAGTTATGGTCGAAACGTCGTGAGAATTTTTTATTGTTTTATATATATTTTGTTATTTTGTTGTTTCTCTTCAACGTGACTTTACCGAAAAAACTAAGAATATGAATTACTGCAGTCACGAAAGCTTTAAATCAAAATTTACCACATTTCTGTTCAATATTAACCATTTTGTATTGTCACCGCGGCAAAGCGTCTTAGTCGCCCTAGCTGGGTCGTATGATGAGGCATCCATTGATGAGTAAAATATGTATTATGTGTATAATACACGCTTTCTCTCATACAAAATGCGTAAATTTTTTATTTTATTTTTATTTATCTAATCACGGGGGGGGGGGGGTGTACAGGTGAGTGAGAGCGGTGCATAGCGGGATAGGCGTTGTGTGGCACGTGGTTCGTCAGATCCATTTTCTTCAGGGAAGGAAGGGAGAGTCAGTCTCATTTCAAATTCAACCAAGTAAACTCGGGGTCTCTGGAGTGGCATTCACAAGGGGGCCCATTGATTCGTAATTTAAAAGACTGCATAGTTTTTTCAGGTTATACAGCTGTTAGTCATTCAGAAGGCGTGATAATCGTATATTTGATATACATAAACGATACATGTAATTATTTATATAAAGCATCAACTCAAATATGGTGACATTAAGAAATATAATGAGGTTGAAATGTGATTTAAAAATTCTCGAAATACTCCAATTAAAGTGGTTTAAAACTTTCAATCTCCCCCACAAAGAAAAATAATTGCTTTAATGCATTAATATAAGGATATAGCTATGAAATACTATTGCGTTTAGCTCATTCACAAAAGCCTCCTTGGATATGAAAACCATTGTCCAGGAGGGTTCTGCGTGTGTTTTGTTATTCCCACAAATTCTAATCATGAGCAGTTGCCATGTGGGAAAAATTCTAACCAGGAGAAAATCCATACGTATGAAGACCAATTGCAAAAGCGATGTTCCAGCACACACAACCAGAGTCTTTTAACACGAACCACGGCGTGGCGAATTGAAGAAGGCCATGACGCTCTGTTAACCCTTGGTTCCAGCGTTTCCCTCAGCCATGTGCCCTGTTGAACCTTCCCAACTTTCGTCCCCTTTTACAAAACGGCCAATCGGGGCCATTCCCGGCTTGAAGTTCAGCCAGTGGGAAACTTCTCGCGCGTGAACTTGACGCTCAATTAATGAGAGACTTCGAGTGGAGAATTCAACGTCAGAAGCTGTTGTGCTTCCGTTCAAAAGCTTCCGGCACTTTATTCAAATTGAGGAAACGTTCCTCTTCCGCCTTAGCAGCAGCTTTAATGAATCGTTGTCGATTATGTTTTACATCCTTATCCGAACATATTATTTAAATTGGTTTGCTTTATTGCCACTTTCTGGCCATTTGAATTGCCCCACAAGTACGGGGGTTTCACACATTCTCGAATGTGCTGGTTTCCAGACATGCACTGTAATGAATAATTATTTCTGGGTATTTGTCTGATACTCTTTGGTTTTTTCGGTAAAGTCACGTAAGCAAAAAATATTAAATTAAATAAAAAAGAAATGAAAAAAAAAACTAAATTTGTTTTTTCATTTTTCAATTTTTTTATTTGATATGTTTTACCTACGTGACTTTACCGAAAAAAACAAAGAGTATGACTCCTTGCAGTTACAAAAACTTCAAATCTAGAATTATATTGTATGAATTTGTGACATCATGCAGCTAACCAAACCCATGACGTTCTTAGAACCACGTGGATTTAGAGACATAACATAATTACATGGAATAAAGAACATAAAAAAAATCAGACATGATATTGACTGCGCAGAAAATAAGTGGTCTCTGGCAGGGCATACTGTATTGCTGGAAGGAATGTTGCCTTGGTGGACAAGACTCATTATTAAGTGACAGCCACAGGGAGGGCATCCCCCATGGAGATGGAGTGATAACATCAGCTCGTGTGAAGGACCTAAATGGATTGCTATATCGCAGGGCCATAATCCAGGCAGTGGATTGATCAAAGCCAATTGATGACGGATAATATACTGATTACAGTTATTGTAATAACTGGGGCAGACAATGAGCAGTGCAGCATGTGAGCAATAAACAATGAACTAGCATAAAAAAATCGTACTCAATGTGAGCAATTGTGAGATATTGTCTATTTTGAATGTCATAGTTCCTTGTAGACACACACACAGACACATACAGCTGTGTAGACACAAACACACACCTGTGTAGACACACACACACCTGTATGGAGACACACACACCTGTGTGTAGACACACACACCTGTGTAGACACACACACACCTGTATGGAGACACACACACACCTGTGTAGACACACACACCTGTATGGAGACACACACACACCTGTGTAGACACACACACACACCTGTGTAGACACACACACACCTGTGTAGACACACACACCTGTGTAGACATATACGCACCTGTATGGAGACACACACACCTGTGTACACACACACACACACCTGTGTAGACACACACACACCTGTATGGAGACACACACACCTGTGTGTAGACACACACACCTGTGTAGACACACACACACCTGTATGGAGACACACACACACCTGTGTAGACACACACACCTGTATGGAGACACACACACACCTGTGTAGACACACACACACACCTGTGTAGACACACACACACCTGTGTAGACACACACACCTGTGTAGACATATACGCACCTGTATGGAGACACACACACCTGTGTAGACACACACACACACCTGTGTAGACATGCACGCACCTGTATGGAGACACACACACCTGTGTGTAGATACACACACATCTGTGTAGAGACACACACACACCTGACAGACACACACACACACACACCTGTGTAGACACACACACACCTGTGTAGAGACACACACACACCTGTGTAAACACACACACACCTGTGTAGAGACAAACACACACACCTGTGTAGAGACACACACACCTGTGTAGACACACACACCTGTATGGAGACACACACACCTGTGTGTAGACACACACACACACACCTGTGTAGACACACACACACACACACACCTGTGTAGACATACACACACATGTCTAGACACACACATACACACCTGTGTGTAGACACACACATTTGTGTAGAGACACACACACACCTGTGTAAACACACACACACCTGTGTAGACATACACACACATGTCTAGACACACACATACACACCTGTGTGTAGACACACACATCTGTGTAGAGACACACACACCTGTGTAGACACACACACACACCTGTGTAGACACACACACACCTGTTTGGAGACACACACACACACCTGTGCGTAGACACACATACTCACACACACACACCTGTCACACACACACCTGTGTAGAGACACACACAATTAGACATACACACACACACACCTGTGTAGACACACACACACACCTGTGTAGACACACACACCTGTGTAGAGACACACACACACACCTGTGTAGACACACACACACCTGTTTGGAGACACACACACACCTGTGCGTAGACACACATACTCACACACACACACCTGTCACACACACACCTGTGTAGAGACACACACAATTAGACATACACACACACACCTGTGTAGACACACACACACACACCTGTGTAGACACACACACCTGTGTAGAGACACACACATACACCTGTGTAGACACACACACACCTGTTTGGAGACACACACACACACCTGTGCGTAGACACATACTCACACACACACACCTGTCACACACACACCTGTGTAGAGACACACACAATTAGACATACACACACACACCTGTGTAGAGACACACAATTAGACACACACACAGCTGTGTAGAGGCACCTGCACTCACCCTTTGCACGTCGTCTAAGTCACCCGTACATCGGTGCACGTTGCCTCAGGTGCAACGCACTGCGCACGCTTTCCCAGCCCTTCCAGTCCCAGTGACTTTAAAAAAAGCAGGTATCCTGAACAGCACGGGGTCGATGAAGACGATACAAACATTGCCTGAGTCACGCACTGCGGCTGCTGTCAACGTCTGCACGAAATGTTCACCAGGGGCATCATCGCCTTTATAGTGGGGACAGTTTTCAAAATCGCATCCTCTTCAACTCCACTCCCCCAAAGCGCACCGTGGCCCACGCCTCCAAGGCTCTCCTCACCTTACCCCACCCTAGCACAGCCTTTAAGTTAGCTTTTCGGCTTATTCACCAAATGATTGATGTTATTATTATCTTGTGTTGCCAGCTACTAGAAGACACACGGCACATGTAGATACATATAGAGGAACAGCCTCGTATGGATCAATGATTGTCCGCTTGTATCCGGGGCACTCTGAGAACATCTGGAAGGATGGTGAATCATTTTGGGAGAGACGCAGGTGGCATGGGTCAGCTGTAGGGCACACGCAGGATAACTCGGTCGTATTCGTGTTACGTGACTGGGGAAGTGTGACGTGAATTCGAAGTGTTAGCGAATTCGACTTCAAGGTGACTCTCACAAGCCACCGTCCGTGATATATTTGAACAAATGCACGGCACTCCGTTAACGTAACAAACTGCGTCTGAATGTCGCTTTGATGTTTCTAATGACTTTATAATGACAGGGTCAGTACCCCAAAGGGTCTCGAAATGTTAACTTTCATATTGGTGCTTACGTCCGTGGGTGGAATTCATTTCCAGCTCAGACCCCGCTTGCTTGCCCATCGCCACGTAAATAACCTCCTTGTTGTAGCTGCTCTCTCGCTGGTTTATATTTTTTTTCGCCCGAGGACGACCGCTTGTGTTGCGATCGAAACGTCGTGATTGACTTAAATTTTTTACCTACGTGACTTTACCGAAAGAACCAAAGAGTATGGATGCCTGCAGTCACGAAAGCTTCAAATCAAGATTGGTGCTACTCATTTTATGGACCTCAGAGAGGTGATAGGTCGAGTGAAGACCTTACACAAGTTCTCACAGTCGGGCACTTTGACCACAGCAACACTCATTTTACCATCATATATAAATCTATAGGATTGTATCGTTTCATTATAACTGGCTACTGACTTTCATGAGAAGCACAAACTTGTGCACACGAACACAAAAGATCCCCGTATAGCCTCAAGAGACTTTTGGGGCAAGTGCTGTTAGCGAGCACCGACGAAGGACGGCACGGCACACGAGGGCGTCGGTGGCCAGAACCACGCCCGACCGCCTTTGTCTCCCCAGTGGCGACGTTTACACATCACACAGTTGGCTACCTACGGTGCGAAATAAGTCCAACAAACATACATTACCATAAATAACCATCATCAACGAACTGCTGGATGAAGGCGTCCTAATGCAGTTGCCATCACTCGGGGTCCTGCAATGTGTAGTGGTGATCGCCACTCACCATTCAGTAACCTGCAGTACCACTGAGTGTCAAACAGAGGTGAGAGCGGATCGAAACGACGGTTCGTGAGGGCCAATCAGAAGGTTCCAAGAAGGGGCGTGGCTTGGACGGAGCCAGCCACGAACTTTGTATAAAAGCCAGAGCGCTCAGAGCTCTGGCTCAGTTCTCTCTCCACACGAAGCCCGGGCTGAAGATAGACAGGGCCCTGGAGCCAAGCCTTACAGCTCTTCTAAGGGCTGAGGCTCAGTGTAATCAGTGGTCGCGACCCACAGACCCATTGGTCGGGTCAGTTAGCCTCCCCTAAGTCCCAACCGTAGGACGTTAGGTTAGCGGGTAACCCGTGAGTAGGTCCCGCCAAGTCTGGAGGCCATATCTCCCTAGGTATCGGGTAAAGGGGACCGTATACCCTTTGTGTGTGAGGGACCGTGTCGGAAGAAAGACAATAAACAGAGTGTGCCTCACAAAGAAGTTTATTCGTCCATATTTACAACACTACAAATGCAAGCGATGCAACAAGCAATTCGCGCCTGCACATGAGCCAATTTCATTAATTCAGCTATTTCAAGCGCAATATCTCGTTGGTCTCGTCAAGAAGTATATACCATCACGCAAACTCCGGCCATCCTCGCAGCGGCTTTTGGCTCGCCAACGAACAAAGACATTGCTGTTGTGCAGCCGTCTGGAATGCACTTCCTTCCGATATGAGGAAGCCACTGGGAGCTATGAACTTTTAAACGGTCTATATTGACAAATTCATTTCTTTAGAACTGCTTTTTGAGTTTAGTTTGTTGTCCATCCCCTGCGCCTCCTATTAGCGTGGTTGGCTATGTATGGTGTGAAATAAGTTCAACCTACATATATAGACTCACACAGAGACCCATAGACTCAAACAGAGACCCCCAGACTCACACAGAGAGCCATAGACTCACACAGGGACCCATAGAATCACAAAAAAACACCCAGACTCACACAGAGACCCATAGATTCATACAAAGACCCACAGACTCACACAGAGACCCATAGACTCACACAGAGACCCATAGAATCACAAAAAACACCCAGACTCACACAGAGACCCATAGATTCATACAAAGACCCACAGACTCACACAGAGACCCATAGACTTACACAGAGACCTATTGATTAACACAGAGACCCATAGACTCACACAGAGACCCATAGACTCACACAGAGACCCATAGACTCACACAGAGACCCCCAGACTCACACAGAGACCCATAGACTCACACAGACCCATAGACTCACACAGACACCCATAGACTCACACAGAGACCCATAGAATCACAAAAAAACACCCAGACTCACACGGAGACCCATAGATTCATACAAAGACCCACAGACTCACACAGAGACCCATAGACTTACACAGAGACCTATTGATTAACACAGAGACCCATAGACTCACACAGAGACCCATAGACTCACACAGAGACCCATAGACTCACACAGAGACCCCCAGACTCACACAGAGACCCATAGACTCACACAGACCCATAGACTCACACAGACACCCATAGACTCACACAGAGACCCATAGACCCACACATCGACCCATAGACTCACACATCGACCCAAGACTCACACACGGACCCATAGACCCACACATCGACCCATAGACTCACACAAAGACCCATAGACTCACACAGCGACCCATAGACTCACACAGAGACCCCAGACTCACACAGATACCCATAGACTCACACAGAGACCCCCCGACTCACACAGAGACCCATAGACTCACACAGAGACCCATAGACTCACAAAGAAACCCCCAGACTCACACAGAGACTCATAGACTCACACAAAGACCCATAGACTAACACATAGACCCATAGACTCACACAGAGACCCAGACTCACACAGAGACCCATAGACTCACACAGAGACCCATAGACTCACATAGAGACCCATAGACTCAAACAAAGACCCCCAGACTCACACAGAGAGCCATAGACTCACACAGGGACCCATAGACTCACACAGAGACCCATAGACTCACACAGAGACCCATAGAATCACAAAGAAACCCCCGGACTCACACAGAGACCCATAGACTCATACAAAGACCCATAGATTCACACAGAGACCCATAGACTCACACAGAGACCCAGACTCACACAGAGACCCATAGACTCACACAGAGACCCACAGACTCACACAAAGACCCATAGACTTACACAGAGACCCATTGATTAACACAGAGACACATAGACTCACATAGAGACCCATAGACTCACACAGAGACCCATAGACTCACACAGAGACCCATCGTTTATTGTCATTTATCCGTACCTCTGATTAGCGTGGTTGGCTACGTATGGTGTGAAAGAAGTTCAACACACACATGTGGTGGACGTTCTCTTAGACGGGTCGCTACCCTTGGCAGACACTTTTTATCGTCAGCACTGATGCCGGACAATTGGTCTGAAGAGAGACACTTCAGATATTGCCCTTGTCGGTGCGACGTAAGGTGTGCCACAGCTTTAGCGGTTCCAGTTTCATTTATGTAGCAAATAACGGAGAAATGTGTGATACCCAGTCAAAACGAGTGGGTTATCAAATGGGAAAGACCCGAGACCAGATGGTGGAATGCCGTCAAGGGGCCGTCCATAAATGACGTCACGCGATTTTGGACGATTTTTGACCCCCCCCCCCAAAAAAAAATAAACCATGCTTCAAATTGCTTTAAACGAATGTAATTGTAGTGCGTATTTAATGTGGCGCTGCAGTCTGATGTTGTAGGAGAAAACATTTATTAAAGAGTCTCTTTAATTAAGGAGAACGTGTTGTCTATATTTAATTAAAGTTGCGCATTTTGACATGACGTCACATTTCTCAACCCTCCCCCCCTCGCCACACATCGCCACAAATGTCTGACCACCCCCCCCCCTCGAGGTGCGTGACGTCATTTATGGACGGCCCCTAAGGCAGATCTTTTATACAAGTATCGTCTTCTAAAGACATTTTGAGGCCACGTGTCCACTGTGCAGCAGCTGCGGGATCTGTTGGAGGGTCGAACGCGCTGTGGAGGTGGCGTGGCATCAGCGGCTCTTGGCCACGGTGCCGTGTTGATCTTGGTCGGCTCAGTGACGAGTTCGCGTCGTTGCTTTACAATAAGGTCCAGTACAGTGTAGCCCGTGCTATTCTAAAACGAATTCTGCCATTTCAGAGCCAATCCGAACTGATCCGTTTCACCTTAACAACGTTACAGTACGTCCCATCACAGCCGCAGTGATGGATAACAAATTCGCCCGCGGTTTTGTATACGTGCGGTGTCCGCACAATGTACCACCTTTGCGTGAGCAAAGACCCAATCCGTACCACAGCACGACTTCCTTGAGCGGGTTGCGTGGGCCAAAACTGCTCCATCTTCATTCCACGCGTTGACACGCAGGAGACCCGCAATGCGTGGGGTGGTGGGTTAAAGGGCACCGAGTGTGGAAGAGCAGAGACATTGTTTTGAACAGTTTCGTTCTTTGAAAACCGTGTCCTATTTATAACGCCGGTATGAGGAGGTGAATATTTCCCAGCCGCGATCATTGGGCCGAATTTGCACGCTTCCCCACGCCCCCAAATAGGACGTAACACTACTGTGTGGAAAGGGGGGTGTACATGCAGAGTTTGCACATTAAAATCATGACATGATGGGACTTTTTTACATGGAATCATGTCATTGCATTAACCACAATACTTGCGGTCAGAATGCAAATAAAAACACACCTTGATAATATGATGTATTGTCCTTGAAACTGATTGGTCTACACCAGAGACGGCTTTCTGTTTGAGCCTCGTCTCAAACGGTGCTAGACCAGAGGACGTAAAAAGGCGTACAGTTCAAAGACAATGCCACTAACAGAGTAATGAGAGCTCGGGGTGAGCTTCTACACAATGGGACCTCCTTTGCCAGTATCAAAATATAATAATATGGTTTTTCCCCTTTTTTCTGGCAACAAAACTGGAACCTTTTAACAAGGAATTTTGGTACTGACAAAGGAGGTCCAATGATGTACAGTGAGGGAAAAAATATTTGATCCCCTGCTGATTTTGTACGTTTGCCCACTGACAAAGAAATGATCAGTCTATAATTTTAATGGTAGGTTTATTTGAACAGTGAGAGACAGAATAACACCAAAAAAATCCCGAAAAACGCATGTCAAAAAT